AACTTTCACCAACTGTCTGAATCCGCCAGATCTGTTTCTATCGTCAGAAACTGTCAATCACGTCTCATAAACCGTCAATGCCCAGCTCTCGCTACGCTCGGGTCCACGCTGTTCCTTTGAGTTTTCAGAAACGCTTAGTTATAACGGACGATAAACCAAAACACCGATCTGCCGTTTGATATTTCTGTATTGTTACACCAACATATAAAATGAATAAGTAAACTAAGGTCTGTAAACAAATATTACAATAATAAATCGTTATATTACTTCTGACGATGTTTCACTCTTCTTTCTGAACAGCGACCGATGAGACGATGACTGTCGTATTGATGCCTCCACGAAAATCGGGGAAGTTGATTTTGAGCAAACAACCAAGAATTGATCGTTCAATCTTCAACTCCGTTGACATTGTCAGTCTGTTGTTATTCCTGATTTTCGAAAAACACTAGGCGAACAGCTGAAGCTCATCGACACTCCTCTACATAAATGATGTGAATTGTGAAAGAACGTGATGAATTAAGAGGAAGTCTTCACCGTCCTTGAAATTCAAACCAGCAGCGACAGGTCACTTTTCGGTAATAACAGTAGTCGAACCAATTAGGGATATCTTCTCATGCATGAGGACAGAGACGACATTTGGCTACTTCTAAAGTAAAAGAGTAGATAACAACGCTAAATATGCTGGAAATGAGAAGAAAGCTACCACATCCTGCCATTTTGTGGCCGGACAGATAAAGACGCAGCTAGATATGTCATGCAGCCGTACAAAGGTATGATCAGCCATTCTTAGGAGTCAAGGGAGACCTTACTGCATAGTCATTGGGTCGACTGATAATACCGTATCTGCGTATTCTCATCATCTGCAGAAACTTGAGTAGCTAAATTACAGCATAAAATAGTACATAATCTAAACTAGAAATACTAAGAAGACACCGGAAGGCACTTTGGCATCTCAGGGGTGTCTGACTGGTGTTGTTTACTGGAGATCAGTGGTTAATGTGTAATACAGCTTCCCCCCCCTAAGGTTTGTCGCTTACGGAACTCGCCATGGGCTGATATGCTCATGGATAGCATCAAAAGAAGGCAAAACTATTATGCTAAGGCGGAAGGCTTACATACAACTGTAGAGAAACAATCTGTATTTGAGAAGCTGTATTGGTGCTGTCATTCTATATCAATCTCTCTCTTTATATATTTTCATGCATGCTCCTACTATATCATCTGTCCCTAGTAGTTCTTTCACCATATGCTTTTCCCATTCATTATCTGTTTTCCTGTTCTACTCTACTGATATCACCTTTTTCATCCGGATGATTGCATAAGGAAGCAAAATTTAGGACTATCAAGAACGTTATTACAATGGTATGAAGTAAATATTTCGGCTGGATTTATTTATCGCGTTCTATTGTAGTTCCGCTTGGAAATTATTTTTGCCAATAATTTTTAATAAAATTGTGTTATATGTTATCTGGATTGATGGAAATTTCCATTTTTTGGCTAGTTATCTTGGTGTCCGCGTCATGTGATCTGACTGCGACACACTTTTCGCATATTAATTGCAATGATTAGTGTTTTAGGCTGACTGTATCGAAATATCGGTGTAATGAGGAAGATAGGATAGTTGGAGGGTAATGCCATTTACACAAATCGTTTACTCCATGCAGAAGCTGCACCTTTCGGTATAGTATCATTCAATGAAGACTTCCCCAAATCGACAAAAATGGGGGACAAAATGGGATATTCCATTGAGTAAAAATGGGGACAAAATGGGGAAATAGTAAGATTTTCCCCATTTTCCCCTTTTTGTAAAGTCAAGTTGTCCCCAGAATTCGCAGGATTTCCCCATTTTTATCGCAATTTGTCCCCAGAATTTCCCCCCCCCCATTTTATCGTCTATTTTCCCCTTAATCCGCGGCATTCCACCCATTTTACTCATTTATTTTTGCCTTATTTTGCATACGTCAAACAACTCAAAAGTCAAATAAAGGTTCGTTACGGAAATAAATAGGCAAAGTTAAACTTTCGACACCACTAACAACCAATCAGCGAACGACCTTGAACGGACCAGTCACATTAAAGAGGCATATATGATGAATGGAAATGTATACTTGTAGAAAAAAGCATAAAATAGAGAATTAAAAAGTTACATGGGATATCTTTCTCGAACATGTGAGAGAAAAATCTCCCAGTTTAGCATGGGACTGTCAATGGAGAAATTACACCATATCCTGTACAAATATTCATCCAAATGACCATAAATGAGATCCATTTATAGCCCTTATCCTATTTTTCAACCTGTCCCAAAATCCTTCAATAGAATTTGTATGTGTCCTCGTAACGGGATCCACAAAATCACTTGGATGGTTGACTCTATGATGAATATATCCCAGAGATGACAGTGAATTCTAGCCTTTCCACTCGTCGGTGTGTATAATTGACCCCCGCTTAACAAGTCTGGTAATAATAGGTATAAGAGTAGTTGCTTTTCTATCTGCTATCCTTAGGGAGAGAAGCGACCTAGCGAAAAAACTTCCTACGAAATATTAAAATTATCAGCTTACTCTCTCTAGCGTTAGTAGGCTTCAAACATATAGCACAACGATGAACAAACCCATCAGTTGATTTGGTATAGCTTTTTAAAGTCGTGATACCACCACACAAACCAATTCGCTCTTTCCGGAGCAACTCAAATCCAGGAAATACTGGAAAACGCTAACCTCCTCGAATCGCAACAGTAGCTTTGTAAGGTCACGCATTAGAAATGAATCAAGCGCTATACAACATTGAACTGCGTTCGCGAACCTCATTGGATAATTCGACATCGTTCGTGAATCTCATTGGATAATTCGCTGATTGGTAGTTAGTGGTGTCGAAAGTTTAACTTCGCCTTGCTACCTTAGCTCCTTCCTTTGGAGTTGAATCTTGCTGTCACGATTCTGGATGAAATTGGTTACCAGTACATTAGGGCCTTGTCTGCTACTGGTGACATCGTGATAGCCACTGACTGCTGCCTCAGTGTGCTCGTAGTTGTCGTCTGGGTGATCAGGCGGAGTCAATTACTTACTCTCCAGTTGACAGTTTAGACAATCCACATCCATTCCATCTGCTCTCGCAGATACCCAGCACTTCTACACCATATCTTCGCATTTCTTTGGCTAACTGTGCAGCCTTTTCAGACAGTCTCGTACGTTATACATACATTCCACGTTCCCGATCTTATTCTTGCTCTCATCGAGAGAAGACATTGGCCGGCTAACTGGCTTCCCGAAGGCTTTCACCAGCCAGCCCACTGTATCATTTCGCCTCTCCGATTCGAAAGAAGAATAAGACTGCTATTTGAATCTTTTGTATTTTTAATATATTTTCTGTGCCTTGAATTTCCTCTGGCGGTCTGATAGGTTTAGTGATGTTGGGTTGCCAGTCCCATGCCCAACCCTCCCTCTTCACCCGAGCTTGGGACCAGCTAGTTAACTAGGTGAGGTTCTGTTATAACTTGGGGTAATGTAGACGTTAAGCTAATTTCTGTCTCACTCCTATCTAGGGATTCATGAACCTAGTTTGTTTTAGCCAAATCCAATCCTGTTTGCAGTTAACGAATTCTTCATTAGTGATAAGATCTTCCTGAAACTTGAAATGATCTTCTTCACTTACCACAGACCACGAGGAAAGAATGACTCAAGTCAGTCAGCAAATGATCTGTGAAGTTCAAAGATGACGACAACCCACGTACAGCAGCCTGCTAATCCCCACAAAAGAACACTCCCTACGTAAAACAGACATGGCACATCGGGCAGAAATTTCTCCGCTCCAGGTAGCAACCAGTCGGAGAAGGTAACTGTTCATCCGTTCACATTCAGGCCCTTTCCAGGGAATAAGGCGAACTAGAATCATAAGATACAAGCCTCAAAATGCGTAGCATTTCGTTATAAACAGTAAAGTATGTTGGACTCATGACCCAGAAAATAACTGTTTTACAGCAGTATACCTAATAATTGATGAAAGAGAGAGCTTGAAGAGTAAATCATATGATTGAAAAGATCAATTCTTTGACATTAATTCCAACCGACCAATTTCGATCGCTCAAGTGAAAGATAAGCTACCTAACTGTGCCACTTCCATGTGTATCTATAAATTTAGTTGCTCCTGTTGAGAAAGCTATACAGGCCGAACAACTAGACAGCTTAACAAACGCATTAATGAGCATCTTCCTTCATGGTTCAGAAAAGGCCAAATAAAATCTATACGAAGTTCCATTTGGGCTGATTTGATTGATAGCGCTCACCAAGTGGACAAAAATAACGCCTTCAAAGTTATCTATCGCATTCCATCGAGTCTTTCGAACGGAATCAGAACCCGTCTTTTACACATAGCCGAAGAAACTATGGGAATTAATTCGAGAGAACAATCCTAGTCTTTGCATACGAAAGAAGAATTTTGTTCTACCTTTGTCTCTCCCTTGCTTCACCTAGGTGAATTCTATTCAAAACCATCCCACCCTTTTTTATCTTCCATTTCCTTCGTACTTTTATGATACTTATTTAAACTCTGATTATCTGTCCACTTCACCCTTTAAGATCTGACCTTATTTATTTATTTATTGAATTGTCTACATATATACATATACTATCTTTGTTATTCTTATCACCTATAAAGGCCTTATTACCAATATTTTGTTATTGTTATAATCATCGTTATTAACTTCGTTCAAAGCATTTACTACATTATTATTATTACTTGATCCACAAAATCACCGTCATTGGTTAAAAAAATGTTTATATATAAATCTATGTAAATTAGGGTAAAGCCTGAAGAAGATCTAATTGAAAACAATACTGTTCACTTAAATGTCTTGTTCTAATATTATGAATGGGAATATTCAAAGATTATTTAAAAAATAAATTCAGACTATATATTGGACCTTTGAGTTGGAATTTGTTTGTTTGCTTCGATCCCACCGCGTCCGCCGTTTCACTGGGGGCATTTTTAGTCTTCACGCTACAATGTCTTTCTCCGAGGGTAACGCTGAAAAGGGAAAGAAGTTGTTTGTTCAACGATGTGCTCAGTGCCACACAGTAGAAAAAGGTGGCCAACATAAGACAGGACCTAATCTACATGGAGTCTTCGGTCGTAAAACAGGACAGGCTCCTGGATATGATTACACTGCTGCTAACAAAAACAAAGGTAGGTACTGTGTTGTTCTCGGTACAGTTTTATTCTACCATATACTCACAGAATGAAAGTTGGTGCGCCTCAGTTTTGCAAGTAAATTATCTCTCCTCTGTCATGCGTAAGAGCATTTAGGCCTATCTATGATCTTATTCCATGCGACTGGAATTAAGTGCATATCATGTGTGAGTGCACTCAAGATTACAAGTTCACCCTATTGTTACAATAACAAGGCTTTTAAAATTTCTTATACAGACCTTCAGCACACTTGCATGTTTGATTTCCTTGCTTCATTTGTGAATTTTCAGGCAAAATAGTCATTCTTGGAGAAAAATTTTGAGTTTTTCGATGTATAGTCAAAGCAGTCGGCGCTTTTTCTCTCACTTGAGATTACTAAGAATGACTGAAACAGGCGCTGGGTTGGAGCTCATGTAGCCTTACTTTCCCAAGACTTGGACTGTCTACTTCATGTGAAGAACTTATGTGACGAAAATTCTAGTTAGGATGCATACGTACATACGATCTGATGATTTATTTATATGTTTGTCTCGGATATTATGTGATAAACGTAGTTTGTGAAGACAGCGTTTCTGAAACTAGGTTTCAAGACAGGGTATTCATTCTGGCTGGACCAAACTGTTATAATGAAAGCATAATTATCCTTACACTGTCATCAAGACCATTATAGTCTATCCGGAGTTACTATGCTGTTCCTTATCACTTAAGTTCTTCGCGAAGGTTTTCACCTTTGTCTGTCACGTTTAAGCTCGGAGAAACACAACGTGTTGTGTTATTTGATACATAAACAATTGAGTAAAGGGAAAGTAACCGTGCTGTATTGTACTTGAAAGTCATCTCAGTGATACTTTGTTCATAACTGCGTGGTTTTCGAGTAATATTGCATATTTTTTGCAATATGAGTCTCTTATATCTTGACTGTTTTATTGCAATGTCCTCAATGTTCCAAACATTTCTGTGTGCAGTGAATGTTTCGGAATTCCCCACGGATGTTTTCACCATGTCCTGATGGCTTCAACTGTGATTATTCGCCTCCAAGTCTTCATTTCTTTGTGTTAATTTCACGTTAACACATCTAAATGAGTTTGGAGAGTGACAAACGTTTTCTTAGTCTACTTTCATATTCAAAAAGTATCTTAGTTAAACGAATAGCTTGTTGAAGTATTCCTTGATAAGAATAACAAAATAGTTTGGAGTCGCAGTAACTTTATTTTCAAAGAGGTGATATCTTCAAGTTTTTGTGTGATATATACATGAAATACTGGAATCAAATACTATTCATTTGAAGTACTTCATTTCATAAACGCTTCTGGCTTACTGGCTGGGTTAATGTTGACTAACCTTTTGATGAATGCCTATGACAGTCTCACTGCGCTAATATGATGGGAGAATAACTAAGACTTTCAGTCAGTTGTGAGTTTATGTTCATTTTACTATGTTTCAAATGTATAAGGAAGTAGGGGGCTGAAATTTTCTTGTTTATAGTCGACTGAGTGGTAATTGAAATACCCACTAAAACCATAAAAGCAATTGTTTGTAGCCCAGTTAGTCATCATTAGCCAGATTGTTTCTTGGTATCCAAATAGAAACTCATTGTTTTGAAGTGTGATAATGTTTGATGTCTTGCTTTGATCTGTAGAACATGACCATTCAAAACTGATATATGGGTTTTAAATTACGAGTCTTAATAAGTAACTGTTTAAGAAGTTAGTATTAAAACTGAGTAATAAAGGTGATATGGTTCAAAATCGTTCTCAATGGCGCAGTTGCATCCACTCCTTGTGACTTACAATTTCCAATGAAACTGTATTGTTCTTCGTTATTACTGCTCCTTTATCTCACACCTCTGTTTACTGTCTCCACTATGCATTTCTTCTACTTTCTCTTGCTGTGTGCTACATGGAAGGAGTGTGGCGACTTGAATTGCGGCACATTTGTGCAAAGTTCCATGTCGAAAACAGACAGACAGGATAAAGAAGGCAAATGAGTTCAAAAGACTATCAACTTGCATTTGTTGAGACTTGGTATATTTTAAAAAGACGTGTGAGGGAAATGGTTAGGTAAAGTAAAAACAACTGTCCTGGGCTCAATTCTCCCCCCCCCTCTGGTTACTTTGGCTTTGTGGGTCGCATCTTTTGATGCCCATAACATACCAAGTTATGGCATAAAATTATACGTGTATTATTTCCGTTGACAATTTTTATATTACCGGTTCCTTTTTGTATACTTCCCCTAGGTATCACATGGAACGAAGATACACTGTTTCAATACTTAGAAAATCCGAAGAAATACATCCCTGGCACAAAGATGGTTTTCGCTGGTTTAAAGAAGGACACTGATCGTAATGATCTGATCACCTATTTGAGAGAAGCAACAAAATAATACGAATAATAACCATAAACAGAATTGAACTTTGTACAACAACCTCCTAGATCTTATCATTACTGTAGCAATACTATAATTTAACAGGATATGTATAGAATGCATGCGGAGTTCATAAATTTTCCTGAGGATAAATTTCATTAGGAGTTTTTATGATCCCATTTACTTATCTATAAAAAAAATAAACTCCATTGGTAATTTTGGCCTTTTTTTCTTAAATGAAAGTCTCTCCTTACTGAGTTAACTAAGTGAAACACATCTCTTAATACACTTTCACGAGTTTCATGTGGACTGATGTTGATTGATTTAGCTGAGTAGTTGTATGCCACACACACGCATCAACCAGTAGTGCTTACTAACCAGAATAAAGTGCTGTAAACACCACCGGACGGCCGTTCCCCTCGTTTACGGCAGAGCTCATCAGCGACATACCTTATGCGACTTAGCTAGCTCAAAGAGAGAGAGCCAAATCGGTTCAAACCACTCGACTTTTGGCTAGCTACTTAAATGAACTGTTAATACCATAAATTGAATTCCTAACTTGAAAATTAATTTACAAGCAAGGCAAGCTTTCATTACTCTCAAGTCTGTGTGTGTGGAGATCAATAGCACTATTCAGCATGTAATATAAGGTCCGGATTTTCAACCCCAATGTTAAGTTAGTGCTACTATACGGATCAGAGACCTGGCGCCGCGTCACGAAGGGCACTTCGAACAAATTACAGACCTTCATAAATAGCTATCTTCACATAATACTAATCAAGATCAGATGGCTGGGGTGTTGTAATTTTTTTGTAATAGTAGTATTAGTATTTGGAGATGACTGAATTACAAGAATCCAACCAAAACACAAAGGGATGAATTCAGGAATTTGTATTTGGCGGGATTATTATTCAATTCATATAAGAAATATATTAACAAGCAACAGTAAGTATTTAAACAATACAGAGATAGAAATTGTCAATCACCACATAGGGGCAACAGGGGTCTCTGGGAACCGAACCAACCAGGATCCAATTGGGCAACAAATATTCAGGAAGAAATGCAGGTGGGTTGTCCATATCCTGAGAAAACGAATCATCAACAAATGACATCACATACTAGGCTATAGATCTAGTGGAACCTGAATGGGAAGCGGCGAGTTCGTCGTCAGTGCGAGGATGACATGGAGGAGATGAGAGCATGTGGTGAGACGTGGAGCCAGGTGAAAACGTTGGCGTAGAACCGGGTGCACAATGGATACGTGTGGCTGAAGCTCTATGTTCCTCTAGAAACTAAAGCAAACAATTATAGTATAATAATAATACCTTGTGTTGGCTGGATTCCGATAAATAAGGCGTGACATTGCCACTCTTTAAAGAAGACAATAATAATAAATTAATTTGCAATTTTATACACATTTTGAGGTGAAATTTCACCAAAGTTCCCTTTCAAAGAGGAAATTTTTCAGATCACTACAATATATAGTAGTCAAGAAAGCATGTGGAATTATGTACGTAGAAACGTAAAGGAAGTGATCTACTGGTGTGTTCATTTTATTGGGTTTATCAAAACGAACGATTTAGAATAAAATTTCAGATAAGAGAATTTTTTGTGGTAGCACTTGGTAGACAACTTGCTTGCCATATTGTGTTGCCAAAACCTCTTCACATGGTCATATAAATATTTGGAATATTATGGATCGTTCGTGTTTTTCTGACTCAACTAACTGCATAACTTTTATAGTTGGGTAGATTGCCGTGTATGTCTCTGCATAATATGATGAATAAAATCTTTTCTGACTTAGAGTTTAAACAATTAAGTAAGTGTTACGAGCATATTAGCCGTCATAAATTTTCTATGTGATATTAGAGGGAGTGACGTTCGTAAATGGGTGTTATGGTTACGAAAATATGATTTCATTAAGTCATTCCTTCTCGTAATAAGCAGCTCCAGTCCACGAGTTTTTATTAATCGGTATCGGGCTCTGTCATGCCTTGTATGAGTGAAATAGCCTTACTTAGCTGTTGAAGTGACGGGAATTCTATAAATGGTTTAAGCCAGACATTGGGATGTACTGCTTGCGCATCGGGACCCGACAGATTTCTGTTGTACTGACGCGGTGGTCAACCTCGCACATCGCGATAACCCAGTGAGTAACGCTAACTAAAATAAGTATTCCTACCCCTGCTACTATTTGAGGATGGTCTGTTGGGGATAACGGTGGGACTAAAACTGGTTACTATCGTAGTATACGTCATGCGCACCATGGTGGAAATCTCGGACCGAAGTCGGCTTGCTGGTGATAGAGGTGAAGGAGAGAAGAGGGTAGTCTCCTTCAGGAGATCCACAAACCACTCTACGAAAGAACAGCTGGATGGAAAAGGCCAGTTACAAGGTATGACACTAATCGATGAAGTCTTTGAATGTTGGTCTGTGTCACGTAAGGAGACAATACAGCCTGCACCAAACGAGGAACTAGGCGTCTGACACTGGTTATTACCTTGTGTCCAATTGAATTACGTATGCAGGTGTATGTTGGCTAAGTTCCCCGGGACACTAAGTATCATTGGCTGGAGACAGTTGGTGGTAACATGGCTTGATGACTCAGATGTGTTTATTGTATCGTATGCATATAGAAGCGATGATTTGACAGTGTTGTAGACCCTGATCTTGTTCCTTATGCGCTAAGTCCAGTAGGTTTCCACATTGATTCCAGAGTAATTAAAGTCCGCCTTGCTTTTCCGATCCTGCTTTTGCATCCTGATCTGTGCCACTTGTAGTTGAAACGATGCTGTCCGGTAAGGTAAGTGGAACAGGTGACTTGATTTAGATTTATCCCATTTTTTCAACGAGTTGATCAAGGATTGGTATCAGTTGGAGAACCATTGAAAAACAGGCAGGAGTACTGGAGAACGGCTTCATCCTAGTTTAGGATTCATCGGCAGTACTGCCAGGGTTCGAACCCAGCGCCTCCCGGTTACCAGACAAGCTCGTATAACATTCAGTGGTTGAATGGTAGCTTACCTTGTAACCGGAAGATCCTGGGTTCGAACCCTATAGAAAATTTCCCCCATTGATGGTGACTGACACTTGTTGTTGTTAGTTAGATATCTTCACTACCTATGCCTTCTCTGTGTACACTGTCTTCGGTGCTGCCGCTTCTCCCGGCTTGTTGGTTTGCAACTGCAGATCTCCTACTTGACAGGAGACATAAATCATCGAGGAAGTCTAGATCTTCAAGTGCCTTCTCATTGGCCGAATGCTTGCCCTTGTTTTCGTTCCTCAAGGTCTATTCCATAATCCAATCCAGTAGAAATGTATCATTCTCAAAATAATGAGTCATCTAATCACCCACTGGTTGTTATTTGGTAGTTGAGTCTAGATGAATGCGATTCATAACTGAGTAATATCGACAATAAACGTCTGTTTCTCAAGCGGGTTTTATTGTCTTAGTTTATGGATCGCAAGAGCTATATTTGCAAGTACTTGATCTATTACTGTAGTACCTATGAAAACTTGTTGAGTTTTACTACGAGCTTGCCTTGTAACCGGAAGGTCCTGGTTTCGAACTCCAGCGGATACGTACTTCCGGCGGGTCCCGAACTAGGATGAAACCTCTGTCCAGTACTCCCTGGTTTCTAATAATTCTCTAATTGATATCAATTCGTGATCAAACTTCAAATAAGTCAAGTCCCTACGAACTAAGTTTTGAAAATTAATCTGTTGATGAAGTTTCGTCGAGTTGTAGTGAGAAGTCATGCGTTTGGGAGTGAGGACAAATACTCCTCGATAACATTGGCTGGTGATCACGCTAAAATCGCTAATTGGTAGAAGTTAGGATTCATAGGCTGGTCATTAAGTTTGGTCCCAGTAGCTGAATTGTCTACGATCTTGTCTTTACTTGTAACGGGATTCGAAAGCTGGGGGTGGGTGCCTACTACTAATGAGTCCCAGGCTAGGACGAAACAACTGTATAATGGTGATCGCTTGGTTCTCAGTGGCTCTCTAACTGATATCGATCCATGGTCAAACTTGAAATTTAAATAACCTAATCACACAAACGGTTTTTTGTATCATATGGTAAAGAATATTTGGTGTGTATAAAATTTTCACACTGACTTAGTTGACCTTCGTTTTTATTGGTGAATACGCTTTGATAGTGTGATAGAGAAATTAATTATTGCGCATAAGTGTAGTATACCTTAGTTAACTTTGACACCACCGAATATGACCTAATTACCGTTATGCAGATGTATTTTGATTTGTCGTCATATATATATATATATGCAAAAAGAAGGTGTATTTAATTTAAGAAGGTATAAGTGAGTAAAAAAATAAGTGAAATAACTCAAAGTTATATGATAATTATTATTGATTTTAAATATCTAAGTGTAATCGATAAACAGACATATCATAATTATTGATTAGTTAAGATTGGAAAAAATCGATTCATTTAATTCATGTATTCAGACTTCGCATTGTTTAGAAATAACTTGTAGGTTATCATAGTGTGTTGGTGTGTAGGACAGATTTACATAGCACTGTCTTTAGTACTTGGTCTCTAGTCTTTTTCAGTTGGCTCCAAGATTACCGACAAGCTTTTATTGCCTTATCACATGATCTCCCGTATGCTGACCTCCGACCTAGGCCAAACTCGTTGTTTTCCACCTGGGTTTTATTCGAGGGACTGGTTTGGGAGGCTATTCGATGGTCTCTTCAGTGTATTTCCATTTCCTCTAGCATATTTTCTAGGCAATAGGTTGTTGGTTATTTCACTGTGTGCCAGAGTTCCAGTGCTGTTGATGTTTTCTCTGACCTTCAAATCTCAAGCGAAGATATGTGTTGATGAAAGTTTTCATTAGCCCATTGGAAATACTTTTGGTGAAGGTGTGTACCAATTGTTTGAACCATGTAGAAACATTGTTGGGCTTGACATTAATGTTGAAAATTCGGATCCTTTGTCTTGTGATAAGCGCTTGACGTTTCTACATTGGTATCAGGTTAATGAAAGCATGTAT